TATTTTGGGTCTTTGGGAGTTCCAGTTTCCTAAAGAAGGGCAAGAAGCAATCCCCTGGGGAAAGATGTCATGTCCATGCCTCTTTCACTAAGAGCTACGACGGCACAGTTTGGGTCTTCCTTTTTTTCCCTTCTTGAAGATTGGGACCACATTGGCCTCCTCCAGTCTGCTGGAACTTCTCCCGTTCTCCAAGAACGCTCAAAGATGAAGCGAGATATTGACAAGCTGGAATCTGTCAGGAGGGTTTGGATGATGTTTTATGGCGGAATTGGGTTGGACTGGATGGCCCTTGGGGGTCTCTTCCAATGTGACGTTTCGATCAACACAATAATCAAAAGGCCAGAGAAAAGAAAAGGATGGTTGTTGGTTTCGAACCTAATGAAAGCTGGCCCTTCCAAGAAGGGGCTTGGATTGGACTTCAAAGGGAGGCCCCAGACGTGGCTTCGAAAGGACCGACCGGTGCCTCTCCATCTCCCTTGCAGCTCCAACTTCCCTTTGATGCAAAGACCTTGGGAGCAGGTGCAAAGCATGGTGTTTGTGAAGAGCTAATCTCGGAGCACATTCCTGACCCTCTCCCCCTCCACCTCGGTGGCCCCCGACTTCCCTGCCTTATCCTTCCCATCCCGACCGACCTGCGGAGTCTATTAATAGCAAAGAGACAAGAGCTTTATGTTTTGCGGGAAGGCAGGCGAGGCAACAAAAGTGGCTTTGATTCCCCCATGAAAGGAGGCAGTGTTTATTTGTAATATTATTATATTATTATTAATAATGATGACAATAATAATAATAATAATAATGACACAATATGAGGATTTAAAGATTGAACTGCAAAGACTCTGGCACAAGCCAATCAAGGTGGTCCCAGTGGTATTCGGCACACTGGGTGCAGTGCCTCAAGACCTTGGCCTGCACTTAAACACAATCGGTGCTGACAAAATTACCATCTGCTAGCTGCAAAAGGCCACCCTACTGGGATCTGCATGTATTATTTGCCGATACAACACAGAGAATTATAATGTTATAAATATTATTAGCTGTCCCCTGCCACACATTGCTGTGGCCCACTCTGGTGGTCATGAGGGTTCTGTGTGGGAGGTTTGGCCCAATTCCATCGTCGGTGGGGTTCAGAATGTTCTGTGATTGTAGGTGAACTACAAATCCCAGCAACTACAACTCCCAGATGTCA